TACCCCGGCTTTATTCCTGACCCGCTCTATATAGTCTTCCTCGCCGATAACGTTTATTCGTCCCGTTGCTCCGTTGCCCTTAACAAAAGCCAGCCCCAGGCGGATATAGACGGATCCCGACGAAACCCACGTCCGCGTCGATTCGTCGAGAATCATTTATCGGCAGCGTCGAGAGCAGCGATCGTTACAGCCGGGATGCACTCGATTCGGAATTGTAACGACGAAGGGATGCGGAATAGTAAACGAGCACATGTCCGGATTTCGAAAGAGTATTCTTCGGATCCTGGGGACATAGGGATTTGATTCCATCGCGATGGATGGATGGATGGATGGAAGCGGCTTGTGATGTTATGGAAGGAAGAAGTTGGAAAGATTTGCGAGGGAGGAGTTTCGTCCAGGAAATATAGCAGTGTGGACTTACTACTACTAACTTAACTCTTACTAACTCTACACTACTACTAAAACTACTCTGCACTAATAAATACTAACTAACTTCTCAATTTCATCATTAACCTTTTTTCTTAGCTAGCTCTAACTGTAACGTCAACTATAGTGGAGAGCTTTCGTCTGTATATCACAATCTTGTTGAATATGGTTTTCTCAATTCCATCATTAACCTATTTTTTAGCTAGCTAACTGCAACGTCAACTATAGTGGAGAGAGCTTTCTTCGTCTGTATATCACAATATTGTTGAATATATATGGTTCTTCAATTTCATCATTAACCTTTTTTAACTAGCTAACTGTAGCGTGAACTATAGTGGAGGGGAGCTTTCCGTTTGTATATCACAATCTTGTTGAATATTATATAGTTTAACAACAATAACGCTTACTTCCTCCTCCCTCTAAGTTTTTTACTCTATACGGCACAATTCTTCCTCTATTACCGGAAGTTGTACAACATTATGCGCACAATTCTTCTTCTATTACCGGAAGTTGTGCAACATTATATAGTCTAATCTATATCTAATCGCACAATGGACAATTCTACCAGTCTCAAATTACAGTTACTGTGTGATGTTAACATTCATGATATACGTTAGACCGCGTCAAACCCTGCCATACATGTCCAGATTAACCTACTAATTATATATGCTTGTCTCGTATAATATAAATTTTTGTTAAGACTTCCTGAAACTGCCTTAGAAGCAAGGGCGACTGTACAAGGTTCACAAGAGGTATATATACAAACAGGTACATGACCGAGCACCAGCGAGAAAGCCTCTTAGACGTCGGCAGCCCTCTACTGGCAGAGCAGGAAAGGTACACCCACCGAATAGATCGCTTCCGCGTGCAACTGATCGATCGGTACGGACGAGCGCGAGGCGCGAGCCTGCTCGCGCATATTTCCAATTACCAAATAGTAAGCGCGCAGCGAAATCAATTTCAGCTTTAATGAAATTCCAGTGTCGCGGATCGCATGCCGGGCATACCGCGAACACCGGGGCTTATTAAAAATATTAACCTTTCCCCTCGACTTGCCCCCCTGTTTCTCGGCGAGTCCTAATTTCTTTAATCTCCCCGGCGGGTTTAAAATATTCGTGCCACGATCGTAAGTTAACTCGTCCTTCCGGTCGGCCGAAGGGACGTCAACACTTAGCAGTCTATTTTATTGCAACCTCTACCTTTAACAATTTTTTCTATATTTATTTGTATCACAATTGTACCATTTAAAGGTAATACTTCAATGACTCCCAAATATTCTTGAACAAATAAACAGAGCGACATATTAACCCTTTGAACTCTGTAGCCTCCAATATTGCACCAGTTCTAATATTGAATATTTTAATGAATCTTAACACTAGGTTTACGGGCACTTATTGTACAGTTTATTCTATTGTTGGGGAAGTTGATATTCGTTCATATTTGAAACATTTACCAAATAATGTTTATAAAATTCAGTCTGCGTCAAATTGACGCGTTCCGTAAACCTAGTGTCAGACTACCCTAAAATCATTAGTTTTTCCACACATCCAAATTTTGTGCCTACAAGGAAAATCAAAGAAGAAATGTTACAGCATTCATTTTGGCTAGGAATACTATAAAAATTAGTTGCAGTTGCCGATAGATTAACAACCTTTAGTGCTAAGGGTTAAGCTGTAATCGAATGAACTAACGTCGACGTGAACCTCAAACAGAGAAACCAAGAGCACTTCGGTCCGCAAAGGGTTGACGGAGAAACATTCAAACGAGTTTAACGCATTCCACGCGTCTCGTTCGCGCGCCGCGAGGCGACAGCCCACGAAACTCGCGAAAATGATCGCGCTTAGTCCTCGACGGCAAAGCCGGCGAATAATCGGTCCCGCGAGAAATATGCGGAGCCCGGTAATTCCAGGTTCCCGTTCAATTAGCCCCTGCCGGCGCGGATCATCCGTCGCAGCTGCCGACTTTCCGCGCGGCGGCGAGTCCTCTCCTTCGATCGTTTTCGGGGGATTCTTAAACCGTGAAATCGATCCGAAAATAAGCCGCGGCCGGAGATAACGATCGGGGTAATCGAAAATTCATCGGTTTCCGATAACGACGCGAGCCGCCGCATTCCAGAAAACAATCAGCCGTTTAATCAACCGGCTTATCGCGGCTTTCAATTTACGGAAGTCGGACGGAGGAGCAGCCCGCGCTGCGCGCGTCGAAAGAACGACGGGACAGGAACCGGCGGAAGAATGCGAGCTAATCGACGTTCGTCGTTAACAAGGGAAGTTATCGAATTCGGAAGTTCCGAAAAATTACGGAACTTTCCGTGCGAGTGAACGGTACGTTGTAACTTCTCGCTGTGTTTCGCTTCGAAACGCAAGCTTCGATTTCCCGTGGATTATCTTGAGAACGTAGACGATTATATATTCGGTACTGATAAATGTCTAATTCGCAGGACGGGTCAACACTGTTCGACCGCTCCGAGAATAAACAAACTAGGACATTGTTTCCGTTGAATATTTCTCTAAATAGATACAAAGGGTTTGAACCGAGCATGTGTTTATTAATCCGCAGTAAAGTCGATTTACGGAACGAACGGGAACGCTGTTCTTGGTTCAACGGTTCACGGCGAACCATTAAGCTGTTGTGTTTGTTCGGCAAATAAATATTCAACGGTTCCTAACATATTCAGCTACCTCAAACAGAGATCTCAAGCTTCAAACAGTCCTCGTATCTCCCGTTCCATTATTCAACTAATCCTCCCATTTATTAAAGTTTCCATTAATCTAAAACATTATCGTCCCGAATCGACCTAAAATTTCCCAAACATTAACGCGACTCGCAGCGTTCGCCGAAACTTCATTCGCGACCGAAACAAGAATCTTCTATGGCAAAAACGCTCGTTCGTTACGCTGCGCGGATCGACCTTTGTTCCTCGATTTCCGAGATTTTTCCATTAATCTAAAACATTAACATCCCGAATCGCCCTAAAATCATATTTTGATTTTTCCATTAATCTAAAACATAAACATCCCGATCCTTAACGCAACTCACAGACCAGCGTTCGCCGAGACATCATTCACGACCGAAACAAGAATCTCCAGCAAAAACGCTCGTTCGTTACGCCGCGCGGATCGAACTTTATTCCGGGATTGCCGAGATTTTTCGTGGCCCGGGCCAGAGGAGGACAGGACAGGACTGAACGGTGTAAATCCGGGAACACGTGTTGCTGGACGCGAGCGTTGTGTCGCGCGTCAGCTGGCGCAATTACCGTAGTCCGCTCGACGAATTAATTCGCGTGTCGGGCCCATTACTCGTCGCCGGTTCACCTTCGCCAAGGCCAGCTCGACCGATTAAATTCGCGTTACATTCGAACCCGATCGAACGATCGATCGTTTCGCTAGTCCACCGACAATCCACGATCCGTCGATCGTCTCGCAGCTCGCCGGCAAAAAAGCTTCCACCTCCCACCCACTGCATGTTTTCGGGACTCCCCGATTTCAGGAGACCCCGTACATTCGATCATATTATGCGGCGCAATCAGCGCGACCGTACTTCGATTCCGGCATGCAATTTTGTACGTGCCCGTCCGACGACCCGACAGGGAAAGCTCTCCCGGCGCGCTGACGATCGACCGATCGATCCGCGAATCGGACCGATTCCCAACGCCGCGCCGCTGTCGAGGGTGGAGAAGATTCTTCCCGCAGAAACGAATTTCAATTTGACCAAAGGTCGACGCTGGCCGTTGGCCTCGACTATCTCGCGCGGTCTAATCGAGTCGAAACGGTCTCGTCCGAAGCGTAAGAGGATGCCTGATGTTCGGTTCGAATAAAATGTTGTTCCGAGCGTGTTTAATACTTTGATTGTTATGTTAGCCGAATTCCGGTGACACTATTTGGAAACTTGGAGATGTAAAAATTATAAGAACAGATTATTTTCTTTGGATATTCATCATAGTACTCGAGTCATTTTGACTGGTACGGTAGTTCTGTTAACATAATCAATATGTGAAATACGGAAAAAGAATAGTTTCGTTCCTCAACGTATGTACGATTTCTCAAATTAATTTCAGAAAACGTCCGCGTCTGATTTCGAAGCGTTAAGAATTTCCGGTAAAATCGGAGCGCAGAGGGTTAACTTCCTCGGTAACTTATCAAACAAACTAAATTTTGTTAGATATGAGGTATAAGATAGCGGAGCAATTATCAAGAATCTCGACTTCTCAGTTCCTTAATGAAGAAAACTAGTATGAGTTTTAATGAGTGGCAAAGTGCTAAGCGTTCAACATTATACAAAAAATTCTCCTTTGTCTTTCTACAATCGTTTCGCGGTGCATTTAGTTGATCCCGCACGGTACCATCATTGTTCTATCATTCCATCGGCATTCTGCCATTCTCCCATACTCCCCCGCGGAAGCAAGGACCCCCGGAGCTTCGTCGAACTCCGGAATCCCCGACACCGCTCGCGGGAGATCGGAACAAAGGAAAGAAGGAACGGCTCGAGTGCGTTCCGTAATTGCGGACAGCTCCGTTCCGCTCGGCAACGTCCGGGGAAGGTATCGTTTCGAGGCGAGGAAAGGAACGTCTTACCTGGTGGCTTCCTGCAGCAACAGGTGAGGCGGCACCCAAAATTTCACCCTCAGCGCGAACCTCAGAGGCGCCACGCCGCCGCCGGTCTGCCTCTCTATGGGATTCCTCAGGTTCAACCACAGCTCCTCGCCCTTCGCGTTCTGATACTTCAGTCCGAAGTAATCGCACTCCTTGCTGATGCCCAGGCAGTCGCACGCCTGCAAACCAAACGATCCTCTATGAAAATCGCTCTCCCATCGATCGCGAGCGCGTCCGCGACGAAGTTAGTCGATGTTGCGTACGCGTTTTCTATTTCGAAATGTTACAGGGAAACCCGTACGCCGCACGCCGACTTTGCGCGAACTGATTGGAAGTGGACTGTATAAATATTTAGTGAAAATAATTTGCTGTATTTTCGGGAGTTCAGTAATACTCGTCAGCGAGAGTCTACAACGTCTAGTTCAATTTCTTCTTATATCTCCCGTCCCGTACCTTGCGTGGGTCTTTATAAACCTTTGGGTAGGCGTGTGCAAAAAATGGAAGCCTCCTGATTTGCAGTCTTCCAGATAGTGGGCGCGTACAAATAAAAATTCGTTCGAGTGGGACTCAACCAGTGATCCTGGGGTTGCCGATTGCAGCCGTCCGCAATGTTATAAGCGTCCCACTGTCATTTTTGTGCGCGCAACACCGTCGATCGAGCGAAACGGCTCGCTTCGAAGAGAGCTCGCGCCCCGCGGTTCTCGTTCTCGATTCCTCGCGACGAAAAACGCGCGTGTTTCGCGGAATCGGCCGCATCCGATTAATACCCTCGGCAACCGCGGACTGATTTGCGGGGGAGCCGGAAAGTGGGAAAACAGCTGCCGCGGTCGAGCAAAGCGTGTAACAAATGGCCGGCAATAATTTGGAAAGTTAGCCGGGTCCCCATTGGCCGCGGCCAGCGGCGGTAGTCCCCGAAACGGCGCGCGGCCATTACGCGATATTATACGCTGCGTGTTTTCTCGCCCTCCGCCCCGCGGCGGCCGCGGCGCGAGCCAAACATTTCGTTGCCGAGGAAATTTCTCTCCGCGCGCGGCGTGTGCACGTATCGTTGCGGCCGATCGATCGGATCGTTATGTTTTCTATCGCGTGGGCAGAGGGCTACGCCTTCGCAGTTCTCGCGACCGGAAACACGGAAAGTCGGTCAGCCCGCGTCGCGATAAGGAAAATTCACGGCGGGAGGAAAGGAGCGCGGAGAGGAGGAGCGAGAACGAGAGGCGCGGAGGCGGAGTTCGGTTGGCCGGTCGGCAGTAAATTCGCCGGAGATGTTGGCCCGCCGCTTTTTGCGGTCCTGAGGAAACCTGGAACAAATAGCCGACCTAACGCGAGGAATCTGTAGGATGCGGCGATGAGAGCTGGCGGACTCGGAGGTTACTGACTGTACTATTGTAACGATTGTATGAGCGGAATACTTTGAAACCGACTCGAGTCCTGTTGAAGAAGATTGAAGGATCATTGAAGAATAATTATGTAGAGTTGTAAGTAAATGGAACTGAGATAGAAATAGAATAGAAATTTGTAAGTAAATTGTAAGTAAATGGAACTTTGAGATAGAAATAGAATAGAAATTTCTAAGTAAATTGTAAGTAAATAGAACTGTCTTAAGGATTAACTCGATTTTTTGAAAGATGGACTTGAGTCATAAAATAAACGGCTCATATGTTTGAATAATTGACAAATAAAGAAATCTAATGAACGTTCATGTTATCCTACGTTATCTTATTCTCACCTGTGACCTCTTAGCTGATTATATTGCCCTGTCGCTCAATTTCACGCGATTTTAACCCTTAACGATCTTCACGTTCTTCTAGTGACAGTAGCAACTAATGTTATAACTAACTAGTGTTGAAAGTTATTTTTCTATGTGTGGTTTATGATCAAAAACTCGATGATTCCGTGAAAAACCGAGAATCACCTCTCGACGGCGAAGGGTTAATTCGCGGGCAGTTACGTCGCCCGAGGTCACGCTCCCCGAAAACGCTCGGTCGAAGGTGAACCGCGATAAAGTCCGTCGAGCGGCCCTTTTTTCGAGGCTTTATCGGCGGACAGAAATACATATATAACGCAATATTCGGGGGAATCGGGTCACAAAAGTTTCATCGATGTTTCAAAGGCTCGGCGGTGTGCGCGGGGCTCGCGTATCGCTGAAAATGTTCTTACACGAGAACGCTCGCTTTCGAATTTTTCGTTTACCCGGGAACAGGGATCGCGGCGGTACCTGATCGCTCGGAAATGGAGTAGCGAGATTCGATGCGATAACCGCGAGCGAAACGGAACAGCGGGTTTGTTTCGGGGGATGATACGGAAGCGACGCGTCGGGCAGAAGATCCACCGGGACCGTAACGAGACGCTCGTTTCGTCGGTCTGAGGCGACCGAGTTCCTCGGGACCACTCCTAGAAACCGCCCCTCCTTGGAAACCGATTTAGGAGCCTGCAGAAGAGGACACGGGCGATAGTTCCGAGCGGAAACGTCGGGAGCGTCGATTTTCGCGTTGGCCGACCGAAGTCACAATTGTAGGAGAAAGAGAATTTTATTTGAAACGGTATAATTATTTCATCGCAGCTCGCCATAAAACAGTAACTCGATTAAACAACACACAGATTATTTATATACTCGATGCTCTTGTCTCACTCACACTTTCTAGAACATTCTTTCATCAGCATGCATTAACTTCACGTATATTTGGAATATTCTAGATTCTGAGAATAAAGAACATTATTTAACATATGGAGAAAATCACTATAATCTAGAATATTCCAACGCTTTGAACATTCATTCAAAACGCGCTCGCACACAGTCGCGTCGTTCATCTATTGCACACACACTCATCACTCAAAAACATCCATTCCCACACAATTGTCGATTCTGGGACAAAACGGGACAAAGGTAGAATATAATATGTGGTATTAACCCTTTGACCTCGGGTGACCCTCAGTCACTCGGTTCGATACAGTGAAATTATAAAGTTTGATGTTTAACACTAAACTTTGTATAACGCGTCACCATGTGAAATATCAAAGTTATTGATATTATTTACATTAGTCACAACAAGCATCGTCTATATTTTATGATTTCTGATCTATATTTTGTGTTATATATTCTTACTTAGTTGTTTCTTATGTTACTTACACTAACTACAAAGATAAAGATTCCTTTAACTCACGAAAAACTTCTACATTAATTAGAATTAAACTTTCACTGTCAATTTCGCCAGCCCAAAGTCCTCCGATCGCCAATCTCCATGAACTCCACGCGACCTCTGAACGTTAGCCGCAAAAAAGGATTTCCAGACCACCGTGCGCATAGACGGTTCCAAGCTTCCCCTAAAAACTCGCGTCGCCCTTTCTCAGTCTCCCAGCTTCGCCCCGAACGGCGACGACCCTCGAACCTCTTAAAAATTCCATCCCTTGGAACGCGCGACGCTAACGACTCGAATTAACCGAAATTCGGCCGCCCTTTGCCGCGACGGTGCGTCGTCCGCGGGAATCCGGCGCGGAGGGAAGGAAGCGGGGCCGATTGAAATCTCACGTCGGCCGAAGGTAAATAAGAAAATCGCGCGGATTCCCGGGCCGGCGTCCGGTATTCCGGTCACGTAGCGAAACGCGCGAACCCCGGTATCCCGTCGACCGCGAAGTAACCGCCGCCGTTATCGGGGATGGCCGCTCGAGAGCGAAAGGCAATGAAAATCTAGTTTCCGCGAGTCGGCGGGGAAACTTCGTTACGCCGTCGGAGCGGAGCTCGCTCGATATGAAACGGATTAAGCGGAATTCCTGCGGCCTTTAAATAAAACCGTACGCGGGAGAAGGAAGAGGCGGCCGCGCTGCGAGTCGGCCGGAAGCTGGTCCGCGCGAAAAACCAGCGGCCCGGAGCGTTGGTCGTTTTTCGGTCGCGCGGCGAGCGGGTAATCTGTCGCCGAGATGCCCAGAAATTCGCCCGCGCGGCGATACGAGGCTCGTTTGTTGTCGGCATCGCCGCGCCGTGCCGCGCCGCGCCGCGCCGGATTAACGAGTTTATTTAATTCGACCCGGCGTGGCAGAGATATTAATTTTCCCGGCGCGAATGCAAATTGCTTCATTTCGAGGCAGAGTTGTTTTCGCTGCGGCGCGCGTTCAGCGAAACCGCACCGCTCTGTGTCCGCGTTTCGTGCGCGCAATTTTCCGCGGCGCGTGTGCGTCACCGTGTAAAATGTGTTTGGACGCGGCTGTGCGTAGAAGGCATTTCAGCGGCGCTCGTTTGCCCGCGACCGTGTGCACGGCTACGTGCATTAAACTTTTCCGATTACGCCGCCAGCCGAAAGCTCCCGTGTGCTGCAGAGGCTCTCGGGAGCCGCTCGAAATTCCTACCGTTTCCGCGCGGAACGCTCGGCCTCTCGCCCCTTTGCATCGTTAACGAGCTTTTTTTATCTTCCGCCTTGCCCGCCTTTTCCGTCGAATGATCAACAGCCGCGCGATAAAACTCGCGTCCGATGACGCAGCTCTGTCATCTGAAGATTACTCATCGCGTTATCTCGCGATACCGTGCTCGCTGGAACCTTGATCGTCCTTCGTCGCTTTGGGGAACTCGTTATTCTGCGACGCCGAAGTGCTCTTGGTTTCTCGCTTTAACGCGTCAAGCGCCATGTTAGTCACTGGTGACTGACGCTTCGGAATGACTAGAAAACAATCGTAATATACAAGACAACCGATGTCGAAAGATGTTTAATAATCTAACAAAGTTGATAATATTGCAAAGATTGTAACGTCAAATAATTAATAACTGTTCCTGCTTTTCTTTGCTACAATGGAAAAACTCTATGGGAAAGTGATTTTCGTGGCGCTTAACGTGTTAAGGTTCACGTCGACGTTAGTTCGTTCAATTACAGCTTAACCCTTAGTTCAGGTTGTTAATCTATCAGCAACTGCAACTAATTTTTATAGTATTCCCAGCGAAAATGAGAAATGCTGTAACATTTCTTCGATCGATTTTCCTTAGTACAAAATTTGGATGTGTGGAAAATCGAAAAATATTAGGGTAGTTTCTTTAAGAGTCATTGAAATATTTAATATTAGAACTGGTGCAGTATTGGAGCCTACAGAGTTCAAAGGGACGCTCTATTTATTTATTCAAGAATATTTAGGAGTCGTTGAAATGTTACCTTTAAATACAATTGTGACGCTACAAATAAATATAGGAAAAATTGTT